CCTCGGTCCCTGTGGGCACGGACCTCTCCCGGGCTGCCCCCGTCTGTCCTGCCAGGACCAGAGGCAGGAAGCTGGGGCCAGGCCGCTGCGGGGGTGGGGTGTGCGTGTATGCATGCCCCTTGGTGCGGGGGTGCCCCCCTGCCCCGCCCCGAGCCTGCCTCTGCAGCACCTCGGGAGCAGAGACCGAGGGGCCTGGGCTGGGGGGTTTCTCAGGCCTGGGACTTGGCTGCAGCTCCTGGCACCCGGCTCTGGATTCCAGGAAGCAGTTGGTTCCAGCCAGGCCCTGCTGTGGGACTGGAGCAAAAGTCTCCGGCCCGCTCCAGCGGGGGACAGACTAGCCCCCCCACCCCAGCCCAGAGCAGCTGCAAGCTCCCCGCCCCCAGCCCATGGCTCTCAGGGAGCATGGTCCAGTGGTCGCAGCAGGGAGCTGGCCCAGGCATTGGTTGTAGGGAGCCAGGACTCCTGGGGTCTGTCACTGACATGCTGGGCAACTGGCTGGCTGGAGCCTGGGGGGGGGGCTTTGGCGTGGAGGGGCCGGGCTGTGGCTGAGCCTGGCACGGTGCCCAGCAGTACTTGGCACCAGAAAATATAAACAGCCCCACCCCTGCCCAGCCCTGTGCGCCGGGGGGCCTCGGAAACGCCAGCAGCCGAGTGCCCAGGACCTGGGCAAAGAGATGCATGAGCTGCCAGGCCTGCCCCGCGGAACTCTGTGCCCACCGTGGGGCAGCGGGTCACAGCTGGGGGACTCGGGGGCAGAATTCCCTGTCAGCCGGGGGCTCGTGCAGCCGCCCAGGAGAGTTAGCAGGGGTCTGTTCCTGCCGGGTGCGCGTCCCCTGGGTGCACACAGACAAGTGTGTTGTGCACGTGGAGGGAAGCGACGAGGAGGGCTCAGGGCTGGGGGCGCCCACAAGAAGGGCCTGTGCCCTGCTGCCTGCACCCTCCCCATGGGCGCAGGCGTGAGGCTGGCGCTGAGATGGGGCAGCTGGGGCCAGCCAGGCTGGGGCTGGGCCGCAGGTCTGTGCGTGGGCCCCCTCCCTGCTCAATCAGGCTGGCGGCGCTGGGCGTTTGTCCCTTGGCACCGGGACCAAAGGGCTCCGGGGACTGGAGATGGGGCAGGCTGGCAGCCAGCAGCAGACCCAGGTGTTTTGGTTCCACCCCTCCCTCCGTGCCTCTGTTCAGCGCTGGCTGGGGCAGCCTGGCCTGTGGGCACTGAACAGCCTTGGGGGGGGGGGGGGACCTATCTCTTCCCTACCTCCTTGTGCCCACATTCTGCCACCAGGGATCCCCCCCAATCCTCCTGGCACCCCAGTTCCAGCTCCTGGGCCAGGCCAGTCCTGGGGTACCCGTGTTCCCATCTGGAGATACGGATAGTTCTTGTTCACCTGGTGCTTTGCCGCAGGGAAACTGAGGCACGGGGACGGGATGGGCTGGCCCTGGGAGCCAGGGCTGGAAGCTAGGTGTCCTGTGGCTGCCCCTGGGCACTGCGTCCGGCTGGGGTCCTGCAGCTCCTGAGCCCTTGCCCGGGGTGTCTGGTACCCCGTTGCTAACCAGCCCCCTTTTGTCCCGGCTTCCCTTGCAGCTGCAGCACCGAGGCGAGCGAGGAGCCGCTGAGAGGACGCCACACGCCTGCAGTGGACCCTGTCTGCCGGCGCCAGCAGCCGCGGAGCCCCCGTGGAAGGGGTGCGGAGGTCTGCCCTGGTTCCTGGGCCCCGGTGGGCACTGATCTAGCCCCGGGAGGCAGCAAGGCCCTGTCCCCGGGCTGGCCCCATGGCGCGGCTGCTCGTGCTGTGAGCCACCGCAGGGGCCCACATGTGACTCCCCCCAGGACTGTGCACCCGCAGCGTCGGAGGGACCCCGCGCCATGGCCAGCAACAGTAGCTCCTGCCCCACGCCAGGGGGCGGGCACCTCAACGGGTACCCGGTGCCCCACTACGCCTTCTTCTTCCCGCACATGATTGGGGGCCTCTCGCCACCGGGCGCGCTGGGGGGCATGCAGCACCAGCTGCCTGTGAGTGGATACAGCACCCCCTCGCCAGCCAGTGAGTACCATGCCCGCGGTATGCCCTGTCCTTCCACCCTGTCTAGGACCCTGTAGTGAGCAGCCCGGGTGGGTCAACGCCGGGCACAGCTGCCCTGAGGCGCTTGAAGCTGCCAGCGTGTTGATGCTCGCATAACCCCATGGGACCTTGGGGCTGCAGAGGGCAGTGCTGGGGGGCACCGGCTGGAGGGAGGTCGGATGCTTGGGAGCCAGGACTCCTGGGTTCTGTTCCCAGCTCTGGGAGGGGACTGGAGTTGAGGGGTTAGAGCAGGGGTGGTGGGCTCTGCTGGCCACATGCCATGTGTCGAGGGCACGTTTCTGCCCC